CTTTCGAGGTCTCTTCCAGCTCCTAATATTCTCTGTGTGTGCGTGATCAGCATTTTCAGCACAAGGTGACCTTCGGGTATACTTAAAAGTATAATATACTGATAGAAAGAGAAAACAGCTAATGGCAGGCATAATTAAATAAAATTATAATTATAATGCCTCACATAGCTATGATGCCCCGGACTAACAAAGAGATGTAGCTGGCACAAACACCAGAGAGCTTAATCTTAAAATACACTTTGGAGGCTGCTATAATGACTCTTCTTTCACATCAAGCAAAAGCTTTCTTTCATTCAAATGAATAGTGAAGGTGGAGAATGCCTGCCGAAACTAACAGCAGGAAATTATGTGCCAATGTATGGCAGCCATCAATGCCCTCTCCTAATCGTTTTAAATCAATGGAACAATTCCATTGCTTCACAAGGGAATAGAGAAGTCTAAAAGACATTCAATTTCTATAAATTCATGAAAACTGTATGTATAAAGAGGGCAACCAGAGTACACATGTGGGGCTATTAATGTTCCAGCCAAAGGAAACGCACAGAGCAGAGCATGCAGCTTTATATACTACAGAAACTGTTCCAAGGGATCCTCTCACACGCATTCTGCACTTCATGTAAACAACAGAGAAATGAGAGTGATAGAGATACCATTTTATACTAAATCAAAAAGTATGTGCTTAGAGACTGTCAGAAAATGCAACTGGTTTTACAGCATGTAACCACCTGGGGTCTTCCCTCCTAAATCTTTTCCCCTTCTGTAACACGTTTTATTTCTGAATTTGGAGCATGGCAAAATGAACACTCTGGACTTTCATATTGGTTTAATGGTTCTGTTTTGCTCTCTAATACTTTCAGAACAATTTTTTACCTTTGATGTGGTTTAACTGACACTGAACACTAAGTCGATGCATCTACTGAGGCATACACCTACCTACTGAACTACAACACGAGTTGCAACAGAGGCATCGTTTTCTTCTAATGTGAAGTAAGAATTTTTTTCTTCTGCATTGCTTTGTATTTATCTATATTGAGTTTATACTGAATCTTGATTGCCTAGTCTGCTTGCAAGCTTTTGGTTGTTCTTCATCTCTGTTATGCTGAATAATACATTTATAGTTTGTTGATGATACCATCTCACCAATCACTATTTCCCAAAGCATTAGGGATACACTAAGCTGCACATGCCTTTGTGGGACTTGACTGATGATCTTCATACACATTAACAACCATTTATTTCTATTCTCCACAGCATCTATTTTACTTAGTTGTTTACATGGCGTTCATTGGCATAGAATCGAGACTGTATTATTATTCTACGCCACATGAAAAAAACAGTCAGAAGATTTACCAGTTGGCAACATAGCTCCTTTAGGAGCCTGAACTGGCTGCACAACTTCTGCAAAGTTAAGGTGTAACAACCCAATCCTTCAGGTCCCCATTCTTGCATCAGTAACACTGAGCGGCATGTCTTCCTTTTCAGAACCTATACTCCATCTTCACCTGTAAGCTACACCCAGCCATTTCTCCTCAGTGTACTGAGGAGAAATGCTCCAATTTCAAGCAGAAAATTATTTTCTATCTCAAAATAGGTCACTGTTCATTTTGCTTGTAAACAATCTCTTTCGCCAACTCCTCAACGAGAAGGTATGCAGAGAAAATCATGCTTCCTGTTATAGCATTACTTTATTTCAGAACTCTTTCATGTGCCTTAGTCATCTCAAGTCTATTAATTCTCTGGCAGATATTCTGCTTCTAATGCATTTATGATAATGTATTTCTCCTAATGCATTTAAAAAACATTATTATTCATTTCCGTATTTTAAACTATTCACTCTTCAGACTTCTTTTTGGATCTGCTTTATTGTGCTTTTAAACCTAAACTGACAAATTCGCTTCAGTCACATTACTTCAGCTTTTTGAGAGATGACTTCTTATGTGCAGTATCTTCTCTTCCTCACATACTTAGCTACACTGGCCCTTCTCTTGGTATATTGCAAGTCTTTTCTGAAAGTTGCACATTTGTTCTTTGCAGCAGACATGGGTTTACAGATTTTAGTTTGTAAGCTCTTCCTTTTGGCTTCTCTTTAGCAAGGTGCCTAATTTTTTATACAATTCTGCCTTTTGAAATTAAGTACAATTATGCAGGGGATGCTAGGCTTCTGTTGCTTCTGCAAAAACACTGAAACTGAGTATATTACAATCAGTTATTGAGTCAGTCTTCAACTAACATTTCAAATCCATTCTACATTTGGGGACAAGACCCGGGTTGGGTTTTTTAAGAGTTTCCTAAGCCATCACACTATCAAGCAGCCATTGTTCACCCTAAAAATTGTGTCACTACCGAGTATAATCTGGCAAATACATCTTCAATTCCAAAATGATGACAAGGCCAGTATTTGTAAATTTGCAGTGGTATATCCTTTAAACTGTCATAAATGTGCATTTTGTAGTAGTTTATATTGTAAGAGCTCTACAATATAAGCCAAACAAATTCTGTTGCCACAGTTGTGTGTTAGGCACCAAACTAGGAACAAAAGCTTCCTAAACTTAATTCCTGGTTCTTTCAAACAGTATCTGTATAACTCAGACAAGTTACTGTAGATCTGTTCAAACAACTCATATGAATCAGTGAAAACTGTATTTATTCCCAAAAAGTTAAGGGCTCAAACTTCTATGTACCTCAGTGCCTTGTGTAAAGAAGGAATATTATCCCCTGTAATTTGACCATAAACTAATTTGCATATGATTAATGGTCAGATAAGAATATGGAGATAATTATCTTATAATATTACCTTGAAATAAAGTTGTTTTAGATGGCAGGAATAACTGTTTTCCCTTACATTTAGAACTACTAAAAAAAGACATACTTTAATAACAACAATTATTCATCAACATTCAACTGAGTCACAATACCTGGAACTAAAAAACTATAGAACTTTTCCATGAGTTTTTGAATCAGCTGATTAGCTTTTTTGGGTCTTCCACCTCCATCACTAAGAAACTCTGGTTTACTCAGTCCAGTTTCCAAAAGGTAAATTCCAACCTGTGAAATGGTTATACAGTTAATTATTTAATTGTTAATTATAATCACATAGTTAATTTTTTAATTAACTGTTAAAAAGACAAGAATATTATAAACAGAAGAGTATGAAAAAAGTCCTTTGAAAATTAGCAGATGTAGACAGATACAATAAATCTACTAAAATCACCATTTACAAGATACAGTACATTGCAGATAAAAGCTGTGATTCCTGTGTGTAATGCACTTCTGACACTGCAATAGTAAAAAGAAATTTTTAGGAAAAAACACACTGGAAACATTTATATAAGCATGTTGAAAAAATACAGGGTAGCTGCCAGACCTCGTTGTTCAGAGGTTTTTATTTTGTATTTCAAACAACAACAGCAAAAAAGAACTTTTAAAATGCAAAACAAATATATGAACCCATACCTTTAAAGCTTGAGCCTCTCCAGGTCTTTGATAAAGTCCAATAATCTTTTTCTTTTGCATCCATCTCAAGCCTTCCAATATTTCACCACTTAGAGTAGGTTCCACCAAAATACGTTGCTCATAAGTACCCAGGTATTCTTTTGTTTCATTACTGTACTCTTCTTCACTTCTTTCATGAACACAGACCTGCAGCTGATCATCAGACTCTCCCCTCATCAAAGTAAAGCTCCTTTCATGGAATTCTTCCATTATAATTTGCTCAGAAGGAAGATGAAGAGCAAATTCTCCCAACAAGGCTTTCCAGGACCCATCCACACGGTATGGCAAGACTATAATATTCAGCTGTACTGACACAGGAGTCAAGATGGAATAAGAGTCGTCTTCATCATTAACTGTCAAAAACTTAACAGATTTTGAGCCACTGCCTTCTTTTTGAATGTGGTCTTCATCAGTGCTATCATCATTTATAACAACAAAGGATGCAGAAGAAGTGCTTGGACCTGGAACATGGTCCTCATTAGTCGTTTCATCATCTAATGTTATCACCTCATTTCTCCGGTCTTCATGCATATTCCAGCAAAGCTTTTTCTTCTCCTCCTCATCTATTTTTGATGGAGGTGCACGTTTTCGACGACTACTCATTTTGACGTTTTCTCAACAGTATTTTCAGTCTGTGCGAGATGAAGTACATTAGACAGCAATAAGTATTACAAAACCCAATGCCCACACTGAAATCCCACTGTGCAGTAGCTGCTAAACTTGCAAAAGGTTTGGACACAGACATACACACTAAAAAAAAATAAATCTAACTGTTCAAAAGAGATTTAGTTTTACAGAGCATCTCCTGCTGCTGTGTCATCACACAAAGTTGGACACGAAGCATTTGCCTTGTACTATATCTTATCATTTTGCCAGACAGCTATACACAGAGATCAACAGGAACACTACATTTCACAGCTGTTACTTAGAATCCTGTGGGACAGATATAAAATGAGAAGCAGTGGAATCCCTCAAAGGTGGGGGTGGAGGGAGATGGCAAAAGAAATTCCACAAACAAAAGTGGAGGAGGTACAGGAGATTCAGAGGAGGATGTGGGGAAAATACACACACAAAATTCTTCCTTTCTTTCGAAGCCTACATTGAGATGTAACATTAAGCAAACTTGACACAGGGCTAGTCTGAAGCTGCCATTACATAAAATATACTTTAGAACCTAAGATGTAAGTTCTGTCCTCAGAAGTTCCTAATGACCTTCCTACTAGTATTGAATACTTTATTTTTCCCAGGAAACTTTGCATCCTGGGACCTGGGCAGACAAACTGCTTGCAGAGGAGCCCTTACTTACTCTATTGTGCATTTCGGTGGGACCAATCACCAAACTAAATGCATAGTCTTACTGATTCTGATTAACTGCAAAGCTAAGTCAAGATACACATCCAACCCCTTGCCTTGAGCCTCGGAAGTGAACAGATTTTGTGGATAAAATACTAGAAAATAAAGTACACAGGCTAAACAATACATATGAAGAAGTAGAATATGGAATATTAGATCCATCTGGGAAACCAGTAACTGCATACTCAAAACTACATGCTCATACTTAAATACTCAAACAAGTAATAATCTTTCCTTCTTAAAAAGTACCGTTTTCATAAGGAGCCTGAACACAGCAACAGATTTATGACCTGTTGTTAAAGAAATGTCTTAGTCAGCAAAGACAGGAAGATATTTAGATGTCTATGTCAATTCAGCTTCTGTAAGCAAGTTTCAAAGAAACGCAGGAAGATGAGAGCCAAGTATTCTAAGATACTAAATCCAGTACTCCACATCCTAATATTAAAACGGTTTATGCTGGAACTGGGCAGAATTCCTAGGATTCTGAATAATTATAAAAAGATCCTACCAAAAAACCCCCAACCAAACCCTAAATTTTATAATTAATGAGAATTAAAAGGGGCCTGCAGGACAGCCCCGCTTTAGCTCCGCACAGACGCCACACCGAGCCTCCCGCCGCTGTGCCCCCCTCGGTGCCACTATCCCCTCTCCCCACCCTGCTCTGTCACCAGGACCTGGCCGGGTCTCCTCGTCCCTAACGAGGAAAGTTACTTGAAACTCGGAAAGGAGGCGCCAGCAATCGCTATTTTACCTCCCGCGACAACTGCTACGGGAGAGCTCAAAGTGACTGCAGTTTGCCTGCCCACCGCCGCAACCCCCCACCAGCCCACTTAACCAGGCGAGAAATTGCACCCACCGCTCCCCAGGGGCACACGCACAGGCCCCCGGGCCGCCACCCCTCAGCCGGCCGCGGAAGGCCGCCCCGCCGCGCTACGGCCAGCAAGGCGAGCGGACAGGCAGGCCATCGCCCTCCCGAGCTCAGGATAAGGACGGCCGCCCGCTGCGACCCCCGGAGCCGCGCGAGTGAGGGGAAGATGGGGAGCAGAGCCAGCCCACCGCTCCCCAGGGGCACACGCACAGGCCCCCGGGCCGCCACCCCTCAGCCGGCCGCGGAAGGCCGCCCCGCCGCGCTACGGCCAGCAAGGCGAGCGGACAGGCAGGCCATCGCCCTCCCGAGCTCAGGATAAGGACGGCCGCCCGCTGCGACCCCCGGAGCCGCGCGAGTGAGGGGAAGATGGGGAGCAGAGCCAGCCGCCACCAACGTACCGAAGGAGGGA